GACGACGTTAGAAGGTTCTTGAAAGGACGCTGCCCCGATCTCTGCTGAGCCATAAACATAGTGATCACTCATCGTACAGCAATATTCTTCAATTCCTTGGTCGTCATCATTAGCTTGTTTCGATCTCCAAGATTTAATATAGGAGGATCGCATACTTCCATCTTTTTTTTCCAGCTCGTTTTCGAAGCCATGTTGTGGCCTTGAGGGAAGTCCTCACGAGCGTCTTTCAGATTATACGCTTCTTCAATCTCCATGTCATAATAGAGGTCACTAGAGAAACAATCTTCGATGGTTGCATCGTATTCATTAGTTTCTTTCGTTCCTTTGGATCTAGATCTCGTCTGATACAAGGGTTCACAAGCTTTCTTTCTCAGAGATGTACTTTTGAAGAATCCTGAAAATGGGCTAAAAGAAAAACCTTTTTTCATTGGTGCTGCTCTCTTAGGCAAGCCCATCGCATGGCGACGTACAGGCAATGATGCAGTAGCACACTGCTCGTAGTCACAGTCAAGATCCGACAAASCAAAACTCGCCATCTTCATACTTCTCGGTACAGCTGCTGCTCGTGCTATGGTGTCATCATAAAACTCTTCTCCATTAGATAGGTCATCATCATCACTATACGCATCATAACAACACTGACCCCGTTTCGGAMAATATTGGCTTCTTATTCTCTTTGTCCACAGCTACAAACGACGTCAATTTCGACGCAACATTGGTTGATTTCAGTGTTAGAATAAATGTCGGCGTCTTGTTTCTCCTTGATGAGGGTTTTTGCTGCAAGACGATGAAGGAGGTAGCTATTGTCGTTTGAATTAAGGGCTTCCAGACTGACTTTGTGCTTGATGTTTCTATTTGTCGATCCGACTGCCAATAAACCGCTAACAGCGACTGATCCCTTGATACTTGAATCACCAGACACCAAACCATATATGATAAGACTGTTGCCACTGAAGATGGGTGGCAGTTCTTGTGGGATAGTCTCCACACTGCACCCTTCTGGAAGGTCCCAAGTTACTTCGCAGTCAAAAGAAGGGCTGGTTGGAGGGCATTCTGGAGAACCTTAATGACCTTTTAAGAAAAAATGCCTCCTTAATCATTAACGCATGAAAAACATAAGGTCATACTTGGTTGTCTCTCTTGGGAGTTTGATTTCCAGCCAGAGACCAATTGAATATCTATATTGTTAGCTTGTTGAATCGATGTCGGTTGAAGTGGTTAAGATAAGCAGTAATACAGTATCCGTCAAAACCTGCTTTTTGAACTCTCCCATAGTGCTGGGATGGACTGTCATTACTTGGTTAGAAGTAGAAGTTATATTTTATTATCCATCGCTTTCTTTTCTTTCTTTCCATCTTGAAAGGTAGCCGT